CGTTCAACTAATCTGTGTGTTTTGACTGGAGAGTTCAGTCCATTGATATTTAAAGTTATTAATGAAACGTGTATTGATTCCTGTTGTTTTGATTTCTGTTTGCATTCTTGGTGTAGCTGTGCATTTCCAGTTATACCTTCATTAAGTTTCTCTCTGTTACCCCTTGGACATAGTCATTCCTTTCTTCAGCTCTTTGAACTTTCAGCTTTAAGAACTCTCTGAAGGGCTAGTTTTGTGGACATGAATTCTTTCAGCCTATTTATGTCATGGAAGATTTTTCTTTCCCCTTCAACTATAATAGACATTTTGGGTGGGTAAAGTAATCTGGGTTGGCATCTGTAGTCATTTGGAACTGGGAATACTTTGGTCTAGAGTCTTCTGGCTTTCATAGTTTACACTGAAATGTCATCTGTAATTCTGATGGGTTTTCCTTTCTATGTGACTTGTTTTTCTTTTGCAGCTTTCTGTATTCTCTTTTTGTTCTGTACGTTTAGTGTTTTTACTATGATGTGCTGTGGAGAGTTTCTTTTCTGGTCCTGTCTATTTGGTATTGTATGTGCTTCTTGTGTTTGTATGGGCATGTCTTTAATTTTGGGAAATTTTCTTCTATAATCCTGTTGAAGATCTGGCTCATTCCATTATCCTGAGATTCTTCTCCTTCCTCTATACCTATGATGCTTAAGTTTGGTCTTTTTATGGTGTCACACAATTCCTGTATTTTCCATTCTTGTGTTTTCTTAAATTTTTCATAATCTTTGCTTGAGTGGTCTAGTTCGTCCACTTTGTCTTCCAATCTTGATATTCTGTTTTCTATTTCATTCATCCTGTTGGTGAGGCTTTCTCCTGTCATTTCTAATTAGTGTTTCACTTCCTTCTTCATTTCAGCCTGAGTATTCTTCAATATTTCTACTGCAGTCCTCCACTCTACCAGCTGAGCTATTGAAGGGAAGCACACTTCTTCAATATTTCTAACTTTTTTCTGAATTCATTCAGAAGTCTGTCCCTATCTTCTTTCAGTTCTTTGATTTCTTTCTTTGTGTGTTCTTTAAATTCACTAAATTCTTTTTTCATGTTTATAATTGTTCTTTTGAATTCCATGTCCTGTGTTATCTCATTGTACTCCTCAAGAGGACTGTTGGTACTTGATGGGGATAACTATTTGGATTTTTCATCTTATTATTTTTTCGCTGTGACTTTGACATGTGGATTTCTTTTGTAGCTTTTGATTCTTGTGTGAGACTCAAGCCTTCCTTTGTTGAATTTAGGTCTGCTTTTCTTTTAAGCTTTATGTGCCATTGTGGTTTACTTGTTGGGCATGAAAAGATGGTTGGTCTAGGCTTCAGGTTCTCTGCTTTGATTTTATATTGGAGGGGTCATATGGCTTTCATCCTGCTGCTCAGGAGCTCCCTCAGAGGTCCAAGTCAGATGAGGATCAGATGCTCTCAGGCTTTCTCCTAAGGTCTAGTCAGCATCCCTCTAGTCAGCAGGCACAGTACAGTTTGGGAGGATTGCTAGGTAGAGGTAGGATTCAGGGCTCTCAGGCAGTCAGAGAAGTAGGCTGGTCTCAGGAATCCAGAGCAAGCAGGGAAGGAGGCTGGTCTCAGGAATCCAGGTTGGGGGTGGGACAGCCAGGGATGAAGGCTGGTCTCAGGTATGCAAAGGTGAGGTGGGGAAGGGAACAGGCCTTGAGGGCTCCAGGGGACTAGACCTGAACTGGGTTAGTCTGCAAAGGATCAGGAAGCAGTGGGGAGTCTGGGCCAAGAGGGCAGCCCACAGGTCTGGGGTGCCAAGAGAAGAAATGGGCCAGTGCCCATCCTAGGAGGAGAGACAGGGTGGAGGAACAGAGAGTGAATGAGGTTGTGGGAGTCAAGGCGCAATAGGGCCACAAGTTAATTTTTAATTAAATTTCTTCTCAGAAGATGATTTAGTACATATCCCATTATTAGAAGCTACTGCTAGTTTCTGAGGTAAGATAAAAAATTCAAGGTCCTAGGCTGGCAAGATGGCTCAGGGAGTAAAAGTGCCATTGAAGTCTGACAACCTGAATTCCATCCTGGAATTCCATGTAAAGGCTGAGGGAGAGAAATGATTTCAGAACATTGTTCTCTGACATCCACACATGTGTTGTGGCATGCACATGCCCTCAGTGACACATCACACATGGACACACAGATAAATAATAAAATAAAGTTTAAAAATTCAAGGTGCTAAGTATAGGACATGAACCCTAGACACATGCGCTATAAGTTATCAGAATTTAATTTTTAGAGCTTTTTATTTCATTTATCATATATAGAAGGCACAAATGAAATGGGGTACATTGGAGTTAGGACAACATCACTGGTAGTGGAGAAAGGCCTTTCTAGGATTATAAAAGCCTCCATACTTAAAAAGTCCATCTGTTATTTATTTATTTATTATATATTTTTTGTACTGTGTGTGTTTTGTTTGTGACAGGATCTTACTACGTAGTTCAGCCAGCCTCAAACCCAGAATCCTCTGAACTCTGCTCCTGAGTTCTGGGATTGAAGCCATGTGCCACACATTGAAAAGACAACTCCTGATAAAACTCTCATTGAACATTTTTTTTACTTTTTGGTCTTTTTGAGACAGGGTCTTCCTGTAGCTCCAGCTGGCTGGAACTTGCTATGTAGACCAAGCTGGCCTTGAATTCACAGAGATCCACCTGCCTCTGCCTCCTGAGTGCTGGGATTAAAGGCGTGTACCACCACGCTCAGCTCACTGAACAATTTTTTTATTTTTTTGGTCTTTTTGAGACAAGGTCTCCCTGTAGCTACAGCTGGCCTGGATTTGCTAATGGAGGCCAGGCTTGCCTTGAACTCACAGAGATCGGCCTGCCTCTGCCTCCTGAGTGCTGGGATTAAAGGCATGTGCCATCACGCTCACCTTCACTGAACAATTTTATGGGACTTTCTTTGTCAAATTTTGACAAACCATGTCCACATAAGAACTTCCCCCCCCCCAAGAGCTCTTTCAAAATTAAGCACATATCTTTTGATATAGCAATTCCCATTCTAAGAATTTGTCTTATAAAAATTACCAGACTCCCCCCAACATTACTGGACCAATAGCAGACATGGTGGTACACACCTGTAATCCAGTACTTGGGAGGCAGGTGACAACTAGACCGGGCTTATATAGGAAGACCTTGTCTTCAACAAGAAATTCCTGGACCAGTGGTATGTGTAGCTCAGTGATATTGCCTGCCTAGCATTCAGGAGGCCCTGGATTTGATCCCTAGCACAACATAATGCCCCAGATGTCCCAAGTCCAATGATACACTTTATGTGTATTTAACTGGTTATTATGAAAAGAGCAATTAAATTATTGCACACCCACACTGAATAATGCAGCTAGTTACTGGTTAAGAGAGAGATTTATACCTAGCTGAAATAAAGTATATATAGTAAAAGCACTAGATATAAAATCATGTTATAATTGGTTTGATTTCTTTTAAAAAATTTATTTTTTATTTTATATGTATGAATGTATTGCCTGCATGTATGTAAGTATACTTGTTGTGCAGTGCCTTTGGAGGTCAGAAGAAGAAGTCAGATCCCCTGGAACTGGAGTTATGGATGGTTGTTAGCCACCATGTGGGTATTGGGAACTGAACCCATGTCCTCTGCAAGAGTAGCCAGTGCTCTTAAGCACTGAACCATCTCTTCAACCCCCTGGTTTGATTTCTTTATATTAAAAATGTTTATGGATACATGTGTAGAATTTCTTGAAAATATACACCAAGTAACCAGTAGTAAGCCTTGGGAATTACATGGAGAGAATGAAGGTTGGATAACATTTGTCATGTTTCCTCATGCTTTAAATTGATTTCAGTGAACATCAAAAAATGTGAAAATTGGGGCTAGAGAGATGGCTCAGTGGTTAAAATCACTGACTCCTCTTGCAGAGGACCTGGGTTTAGTTCCCAGCACCTACATGGCAGCTTACAACTGTCTATAACTCCAGTTCCAGGGGATCCAATGCCCTCTTCTGGCTTATGTGGGTATTGCATGCATGGGTGCACTTAGGTACATACAGGCAAACCACTCATATACATAAAATAAAAATAAACTTTAAAAAATGTGAAAATTCACCAGTGTGTTCAGTACTTATACTCTATTATATCTAGGTCATTTGGTAAGAAAAAAAGCAACACAGGCTCACTGTGAAGAAACAAAACAGCTGGCCAGGTGTGGTGGCACATGCCTGTAACCCCAACACTTAGGATGCAGAGACAGGAGGATCATGAGTTTAAGAGCAGACTGAGCTACGTAGGAGACCCTGTCTCAAAAACAAACAAGCAAACGAATGATTTGTTATTTGGTGGCATGTTTTAGGTACATGACCATCACACTATAAAATTTTGCCTTAGTGGGAGTAGAGGAGGCCTCCGATATCCTCTCCTAGTCCTGATTTGCCCCACCACCATGCTGTCAGCCTTGTGCAGCACGCCAGGCAAGCAGCTCTCCTTTTAAAACTCACTATGCATGGCAACTTCTTACTGTGGCCCCTGATGTGGGTGACAGGTGATATGTAAGGTAAAAGGGAGCAGATGGAGGAATTAGCAAAGGGCATGTCTGATCAAGACTTAAACAAAATTGGTTAAAATGCTATCTTAGCAATTGGCTGGAAAATATGGGCGTTTTTGCCATAGGTAGATGTAAAGAGACTGAGTTACTTCTGCAGATCATGTTGCATTGAGACACTCACGTGTCTTCTTTCAGTACACATTTATTGGTTATGTTCTTGGTAGTTAGTGAGGGTAAGGCTGTAAATAACAGCAGTAAAAATTTTGACACCATTAACCTCCTGAAATAGCTCACAGTTCTCATTATCTGCTAGGTAGGAAGGGGCATCTTGGAAAACTGTAGCACCAGGTGGGTGTGGCGACTTGTTTGGGTCCATTGGCATACCTGACACTGGCCAGAGGAAACCCTGGCTCACAATCCTGCTGAGCCAGGCCTACCTCTCCTGTGTAGATAATCTTCCTACAGACCAGACCTCGCCTGCCACACACGGTGGCCATGCTGAGCAGCTGCATTGATGGCTTCATCTATGCCTGGTCCATCCATGGAAATGGTGGTCTACTGGGGAAGTTCCCTGTGGACATTGATGACAGTGGGATTGCTGTTGTGGGTGCCATGGCCACTGATGAAAATGACTGGCTCCTCATCACAGGGGACTGTAAAGGAACCATCAAGGTGAGGAAGAGCTGGCTGTGGCTGAGGGGCTGGAGTCAGCCAGGCTTCTGGCCACCTCTGTGCTGCCTACCTCCTACTCCCTCTGGGTGCTGGTTTCATTGTAGAGGGGGTGGGGGAGCAAGGTGTGTTCCTTATCTTCTCTCTTCTGCTCTGACATGCCCAGTGAAATGAGCCAGGGCTTCTTGAAAAGGCCCCTCTGAGAACTCCCCCAGTGGATCCTCTCCTCCATTGCTGTCTTCCCACAGCTCCCATATCTTCTAGCCACATGATCAAGTGTCTCATGAACAATTTTATGCTCTGTGGTGAGACATGGGGCAGGAATGTCTTGTCTTCTAAGCCACTCAAAACTCCTTTTCCTGTTAACTGACGGGTCTGACTTAGAAGACCCTAAGGACCCCTCTGGCTGGAGCTATTTGAAGTTAGAACTGTTTCTGAAGTGCAGAGGTATAGTTTGGTGGAACCCACAGTGTGGAGTTGGGGTTGGGCTAGAAGGGCGTCAGCCTACTAACCCACACTTTTTACCTAGATTTGGGACATCAAAGATTACTGCTTATTTGCCGGCCAGCGAGTGCCCCAACCCAGTGGGATGAAGATCGTCAGTGAAACCGAGAATAAGTTCCGATTCTTAATTCCTAAACATCTCCAGGTCAACATCCCGTTTTACATTCCTCTGAAGGAAAAGGAGGTAGGAAGATGGCAGGAGGGTTGCTCAGAAAAGAACTTTCATGCCCACAAGGGAGCTTGGGTCTGTGGTGCCCCAGTGATACAATGAACCTTCAAGCTCCCTTCACCTTTTTCTGGCCTCTGTGGGGTTTGCATGACATGGATGCACTTAACATTCATGCAGACAAATTCTCATACACATAAAAATAAAAATAATTAAATCGAGGCAGGGTGTGGTGGCACATGCCTTTAATCCTAGCACTTGGGAGGCAGAGGCAGGCCGATCTCTGTGAGTTCGAGGCCAGCCGGGTCTACATAGCAAGTTCCAGGCCAGCTGTCGCTACAGGGAGACCTTGTCTCAACACCACCCCCCCCAAAAAAAAAATCAAACAAAAAACTCCAGCAAACTGAAGCTACGGAGGAACACCAGTGCATACTCACCAGAATGACTAAAGCCAAAAAGACGTTAGCAACTGTCTATGTGTACATTACATGTGTAGCAATGTAGAAAGGCTTAAAATAGAGTGGGAACCCTGCTCTGATTCCTTGTGGAATAGTTCTTCCCTGAGGTAGCCACTGGTACTCATTTCTGGTTATTTACGTATGCAAATGCACGTGTGGCAATTTTTCCCCTCGTGTTTTTATATGAAAGTGTTAGCGTGTGCACATGGATATGCCCTGTGCTTCTCCCCATAACATATTTTAGAGATCTTTGCATATTACTACATTATTTTTTTTACAACTTTATAGTCAACTATAGGCTATACTGTCAGTATAATCCTTTTTTAATAAAAGGGGAAATTTGCATTGTTTTAACTTTAGAAATGAGTCCTAGTAGTGAATGTTATTTTACATATGTGTAAGCATATCTGAAGGATGCGTTCCTGAAAGTGGGGATGTTGGGTCAAAGGGTTCCATACAGTTGCAATTTTGTTAGCCATCTTGCAACCTCAAGTGTTTGTATGGGGACAAGGCCTTGCTGTATAGTCCAGGCTGGCTTCAAACTCATAATCCTCCTGCCTCCCAGTTCTGGACTTACGGACCTGCACTATATGCTGGCCACATATGTGCCTTTTGACTTTCTACAGTAGTTGGGACTAGTTTTGGTGAGAAGGGAATTTTGCTGTGCTCCTGTCTGTTGGGAACCGGTTGCTCACAGATTCAGTACATGAGGAATGTCTAGTATTAATATCTAGTAGCAACACTTACTTAGTGCATCAGAGACTGTACTGAGCACAGAGTGTTCTTAACATCTTAAGATAGACTCTGAGAGGCGATGCTACTTTTCAGATGAGGAGGATGGATTGGAAGTACTGGTACTCCATGTCTAAGTCTGTGTAGCAGCTGGTGTTGGTCTGTGACTAAGCCAAGTCTGTGAACTCCTGGATCTGTTTGTGGCTGTGGGCCCTTTATGATGAGATCCTGCTGGCAACTGGTAACCCTCAGCTTTATTATGAGGCATTTTTAAAAGATTTGTTAATTTTACTTTAAGTTTGAGTGCTTGCATATATGTACGTGCACCATGTACATGCAGTGCCCACAAAGGCCAGAAGAGGATGTTGGATCCCCAGGAACTGGAGTCACAGGTGGTTGTGAGCTGCCATATTGCTTCTGGGAACTGAACTCTTGTCCTCTGGAAGAGCACTAAGCACTCTTAACTGTGGAGTTACCTCTCCAGCCCCATGATGAGACATTTTAAAGAGACTGAGATAGTGTTCCGAGTAACTAGAACATTGTCAAATATTTTTCCCTTATTTTTTAAATCTAATGTTATTTTATTTGAAAAGTCATCATTGCATACACTTATAGGATGCAGTGTGTTTTGATATGTGTTTACAAGGGAGAATGACTGAGTCAAGTTAGTTAACATATCGCCTCACTTATTTTCTTGTGCAAGACATTTGATGTTTATTCTTGGTTATTTTGAACTATATGTTACTGATTATACTCTTGGCTATTTTAAGCATTCAATATTTTATTATTGATCTTTTTTGAAGAATAAATATCAAAACTTATTCCTTCTGTTCAACTGAAACTTTATTTCCTTTTTTCCTATCGCTATTTACATTTTTAAAAATCACGGTTTTAGTCACCATACAAAATAATAGGTTTTATTCCATTTCACCACATCTTTATCATTATACTTTGCTCATATCACCTCTCCACTACCCTCTCCCATTCTTCCTTTTCCCCCTTGCTGGTCTCCTTCCCCCTGAAAGTCCCCCTCTGCTTTTACATCATATATTAATGTAATTATGTATATATATATATATATGTAAATATGCATGTGTATCTCTATATATGTTCCTAAAGATTCATATCTTTATATCCATGTCCATATTCCATGGGAGAAAGCATCCTTTTAGAAATGACTGACCTTGCCATTCTCTCTGTATGTGAGATTATGTGGTATTTGCCTTTTTTGTGCCTGGCTTAATTCATTTAGCTCGCCTGCCTTCCAGGTTTATCCATATTGCAAATGATAGGATTTTCTTTTTTAAAGGATGAATAGTATTCCACTGTGTATATGCATCACGCATCCCTTATCCATCAACCTGAAGTCTGGTTCTGTACCGGTTATTTTGAGCAATACTCCAGTCAGCAGGGAAACACAGATTCTTTGCCATACTGATTTAGGTTCCATTTGGCTATATAGCAGAAGTAGGGCTATAAGTTTTTGAGGAAACTTCATATTGTTTTCCATAGTGGTTATACTAATTTAACACCTGCTAAAAATGTAGAAGAGTCTGCTTTTCTCTGTATTGTCACCCATAGCCACTTGTTCTTCTCCCCACCCCTTACCTTGGGATTGAACCTAGGGCTTATACATGCTAGGCAAGTACTGTACCACTGAGTCACACTCCCAGCCCATATTATTGATTTTTGTGTGTTGACTCCCTCCCTCCCTCCCTTGCTCCCTCCCTCCCTCCCTCCCTCCCTTCCTTCCTTCCTTCCTTCCTTCCTTCCTTGCTTCCTTCCTTCCTTCCTTCCTTCCTTCCTTCCTTCCTTCCTTCCTTCCTTTGTATTTAGTGTTTTTGAGACAGAGTCTCATATAGCTCAGGTTGACCTTGACTTGCAATGTAGTCAAGGTAGCTCGTGAACTCCTAATCCTTTTGCCTTAGTGCTTCAAGTGCTGGGATTATAGGCAAATGTCACCACATCCAGCTTGTAGATTGATTTTGTATTCTGTAACTTTGCTGACTTTCTGTACCATCTCTAAGGTTTTTGGGTGGAGTCTTTAGGGTTTTCCATATAAAGGACTGTTTTACTGTTTTTACTTTTTTTTTTCCACAGTAAGATGCCTTGTCTTTCTCTTGCCTGCTTGTTCAGGTTGGGATTTCTTCTACTGTGATGAAAAGAAATGATGAGAATGGGCATTCTTGTCATTCCTGATTTTGGAGGAAAAGCTTTAAACATTTGGTGGTTGAGTATGATGTTAGCTATGGTTTGCTGTAGCTGACTTCTGTCATGTTGAGGGAATCTTCCCTCATCCTTATCTGTTGAACATTTTTATATCTGGAGGAGTGTTGGGCTTTCCCAAATGTACTTCCTGAACTTACTAAAATTATCATATGGCTTTTGTTCTTCATTTTGTTAATGAGGTATCACTGTTACAGACTGTATATGTCAAACCGTCCTTGCAATTTGGGGATAGCAAATCTTTTCTAAAATCAGACGCTTTCTTTCTCTCTTTCTTTCATTCTTTTTTTTTGAGACAGAAATTGCCTCTGCCTCTGAAGTACTAGGATTAAAGGTGTATATTACCATGCCTGCTAGACTTTCTAGAAATAAAATAACATTTCACTCTATAGAATCACAGTCATTGTATAGAATTTTACTTGTTTATTTAACTTGCTGCCTATTATTAGCATAAAGGCAGTTTCTAACTTTTTTATTGGAAAAAATGGACAAAATCATAGAAAGACATAACAGAGACTCAATAAGAAATCAAAAATCTGCAAACATAGGCAATCTGAATAAAACAAGGGGCTGAATTACAGTGAAATCACAGAGGAAAGCCCAGGCACAAATAATTTCACTGATGAATTCTATCAAACACTTAAAATATCAATCACAATGATGCACAAACTTTCTCACGATTTTGTGAGACCAGTATTACTTTGATAGTAAATTTGATGCCAGCTTAGGCTCCATGAAATCTTGTCTCAAAAGAACCCGAAACCCAAACTAAGCCAAAAACACCAACCAACCAAACCAAACCAGACCAAACGAAACGAAACGAAACGAAACGAAACGAAACGAAACCAAACCAAACCAAACCAAACCAGCAACAAAACAACCCCCCAAACAAAAATTCAAACCTTCCAATATTTATTTTAGTTTCAGCTGTGACAATGATTGGTTTGCTTTCAGTAGCCCATCAGCCATCCTGATACTGTGTATTAGACGGTGCTTTCTAACAAATACTATTCTTTTTTCTTAATTAAATAATTAAAAAAAAATTTTTTTTGTGTATGTGTGTATTGTCTGCATGTAGGTAAGTGCACTTGTGTCATGCAGTGCCGGTGGAGGTCAGAAGAGGCTGTTGGATCTCCTGGCACTGGAGTTACTGACAGTTGTTAGCTGCCATGTGGGTTTGAACTCAGGTCTTCTGCAAGAACACCAGTGTTCTTAACTGCTGAGCCATCTCTCCAGCCCATAAATACTATTCTTGTACACTAAGTTTTCATGTATACTTGTTACTTTCTGAGCTCTCTTTCTTTCTTTGTTCTGTTGTGGTTTGTGTTAGTCTGAACTACCATGTCTGACTAGCAAAATAAATGTCCCTTCCTTAGCCTGGTTTTATTTCAAAATGGTCCTGGTTAGGGCTAGGGAGATGAATCTGTAGATGTAACACTTGCCACCCAAATGTGAGGACCACAGTTCAGATCCTCAGAGCTCACATAAAAAAGCTGGGTAGGCATGGGGGCTGCCTGCAATCCCTGCATTCAGAAGGCAAAGGCAGGGGATCCATGGGGGCAATCTGGCTAGATAGACTAGCTGGAATTGGCAGGCTCCGGGTTTGGTGAGAGACCCTGCTTCAATAAATAAAATAGAGAAGGACCAAAGAAGATACCTGAGGTCAACTTTGGGCTTCCACATACCTCACACACATGTATTTGTATCTGCACACACATGTGCCCACATACATACATACATACATATACATAAACACATGCAAAAAATTGGTCCTGGTCATTTTCCAGTTATGTAGTGTTCTTTTCTCTCACAGAAATGTCTCTCATGGTGTGATGTCATTGCCATCCTCATGCCTTACAGTCTACCATCTTCCAGTGCCTGATTGAAAACCTTTAGATCACCTGGGCTCTTGTCCTGGTCCCATCGCTTTCTAGTTCTGTGATCTCAGGCCGATTTCTGAACGTTTCTGATTCTTATTTCTCTGTAAAATGATGAAGATTTTCTTTTTCTTTTTTAAAAATATTTATTATTTTTTTATGTGTATATATGTATTGCCTGCATGTAGGGAAGTGCACCTGTGTCGTGCAATGCCCACAGAAGACAGAAGAGATTGTCAGATCCCCTGGAACTGGAGTTACTGACAGTTGTTAGCTGTCATATGGGTGCTGGGATTCAAACCCAGGTCTTCTGTAAGAACAACCAGTGTTCTTAACCGTGGAGCTAGTTCTCCAGCCCCTGTAAAATGATGAGGATTTTCTATAATCGATAAGGTGGTGAGGTTCTAATGAAATGGTCTGTAGAGAGGCATTCTGTAAACATATGGGAAAATGGCACCAATGGTTTTACCAAAGGGGTCTGTGAGGCCAGAGAGGTGTTGGGACCTACCAAAGGTCATCAGAAGGTTAATATGAAGTGCCCAGTACAGGTCACTGGCCCGTGTCCTGGAGCCCTTCCACCAGACACTCCTGAGTGTCTGCAGGGAGCCTTTGTGACCACCTGGGCATAAGCAGTTCTCTCTTGCCCCCTATAGGTTGTGGATGGCCAGACCATTACTTTGACTCCCCCAACACTTCTGATTACCTGGAACAGTCATTTTGAGAGTGTGGCAGACATCCTGTATGTAGACATCTTCCAGCTGTGTCATCAGTGCTGGCTAGGATGGGAACTCTCTGGGGCTGCCATAGGTATGGGTCCTGCTGAAGCATGGCTTTCCTATCCCTGTCCCTGACCCTAACATGACCCTTATACCCCGTGGGGAGGATGCTCTCAGACCACAGAAGCTGCTGAGATAGTGTTGCACAATGTGACTCTGTCCAGTTGTCCATTTATCCCTCAACCACCCTTCCACCCATTCACTCATCTACCCAGCTTTGCTTGCCTTGATGTTTTAGAAAGTCGTGTGTCTGATAAGGTCTATTCTTTTCCCTTTAAGAAATAAACTTAGTTCTGGTGTCATAACACATCTAAAGAAAAATACACAAACCAGAAGTTGTTCCCCTTGGTGAAGGTATGTGTATCCATACAGCCACCATGTGGAGAAGCAGAAACCTGCCTGGGTTGCTTTCCACCCGCAACCTAGCTTCTCTTCAGAAGATACCAATATCCCGATTTAAAACAAAACAAAACAAAACATTTATTGATATGATTGGGGGAGGGGAGCACGTGGAATATGTGGGGAGGTCAGAGGGCAACTTGCATGAGTCAATTCTCTCCTTCCACCATGTGGATCCCAGGGACAGAACTCAGGTCATCAGACTTGGTCACAGGTACCTGCACCCACTGAGTCATCTCATCAACCCATGATTTTTTTCCTTTTTCTTTTTGTTCATGTATGTATATGTACATATCTGTAAGTAAGCTTGATGTACATATGGATATATGGGCACATACATGCACTTGTTTGTGTAGGCCAGAGGTCAACACTGGCGTCTTCCTCAATCCCTTTCCACCTTCTTATTTTATTTTATTTTTTGTTTTTTGAGATGTTCTCCCTGTAGCCCCAGCTGGCTTGAGACTTCCTATGTAGACAAGGCTGGACTTGATCTCACAGAGATCTGCCTGCCTCTACCTCCTGAGTGCTGGGATTAAAGGCATGCACCACTGCTCCCAGGTCTACCTTATTATTTTGAAACAGGGTCTCTCAGTGAACTTGGAGCTTATCAGTTTGGTTGGCCTGGTTGGCCAGTGAACTTCAGAGATCTGCCTGTCTTCAGGGATCTGCTGTCTCCGTGACCACAGCATCTGAACTCAGGTCTTCATGCTTGTGTAGCAAGCAGACACTTTATAACCGAGCCATCTCTCCAGCCTTTTTTTTTTTTTTTTAATGATATTATTTCACTATGATATCTCAGGCTGGCCTTAACTTGCCCTGTTGCCCAGACTGACTTTGGACTCTCTCCGTGCTCCTGTCTCAGCCTGTCGAATGCTGGGCTTCCAGGTGGGTGCCATCAGGCCTGTCCTGGTTTCTATACTCTCAGACGGTTTGTATTTGGACTCTGCACACCTGGGGTCTTGTGATGGGCTCTTCTTTGCATCTGCTTTCTTTCTCTTAACATCTTGTTTGTGAAATTCATCCATTTGATGAATGTGGTATTCATTCACTCTTACTGCGTGAACACCACCGTTTATCTGTGACTATTGTTGGGCACTTGTTTCTAGCTATTTTCAGTGATTAAGAATAATGGCCTTAAGGACTTGGTTTCTGTTCCCAGCACCCACATGGCAGCTAACAACCATCTATAGGTCCAGTTCCAGGTGATCCAACACCCTTTTCTGGCCTCTTCAGATATTGCATGATGTGGGTACACTTACATACATGTGGGCAAAACACTAATACATATAAAAATAAAGATAAATAAAAACTAAAAAAGAATAATGCCCCTGTGAACATTTTTGTACATATTTTTTGTAAACAAATGTATATATTTTTGTTTGGCATATATCTAGAGATGGAATTACTAATCACAGGATATATAGAACATATGTTTATATATTATGTTACATGTTTTTTTCACAAGTTTTAGTTGATATTGCCAAATGGTCTTTCAAAGTGGTTACCAACTTTCATTCTTTCACCAGCCAAGTGTAAAACTCTCCTTGTTCCATAGTTGTGCTGTGTTAACTATACACACTTTGTTATACAACAGATCTTTGGAACTTTGTCATCTTACATGACTGAAACATTTTATGTGTATGAATGTTTTGCCTGCATATATGAACTATGTATGTGCCTGGTGCATGCAGAGGCCAGAAGAGGGTGTTGGAGCCTATGGAACTGGTGTTACAAATGGTTGCTAGCTGGCATGTGGTATTTTTATGCTGTGGGATAAACAGTAGTAACTTCTATTGGAAATGTTTTCCCTTCTAGCTGTTCTCAAGGGAGCAGTGCTTTTACTCTTGGATTGTTTTGTTGTTTTCCTATTCTCCCTGGCAGAGTTCTGGGCCCAGTCTGCCCCAGGACAGGGACCTTGGAGGACATTAGAGATAAAACATGCTTAGGTTAAAATTGGGTTGTGTGTGGGGGGGGTCCGCTTCCAGAGCCAGCTTTTTAGTGACCTCAAACAACATATCAATTTACCAATATGATTTACATTTCAAAAACAAAACAGAATGAGACTTTTCTGAACTTTGTGTAATTGAACTGTGAAGACTGGAGTTGATGTTATTCCCCTCAGCATGTGGCCCCTCCCCCCCAGTTCAGCTAGAGCTGAGCAGGAGGGGCCGAACTGTGATTTAGGAAGACTCAGTTTTCCTGTCTTTGGGTGTCTCAAGACAGATCTGTTGAATTGCTTGGGGCTTCCCGGGAGGGAAGTGTCATAATGCCTGGCACATGGTGGACACTCAGTCTTTGAGTGAATGGAGTGGAAGGTAAAGGGCAATGGGTTCAGAGAGTCCTGGTTCTGAACAGGGTCTGGTCACATCACAGGGACATTTGGTGTGAATGTTTGGAAAAAACTCCAGGAGGAAACCACTTTGGAACAGGCAGTAAGCTCAGAGGAGAAGGCTGACCTCATCGGAACCAGCCTCAAGAGCTCCTTCCTAGAGCTACAGTGAGTCACCACAGCCCACTGGGGCTCCTTGGCTCCCAGAAGCCTCTGTCTGGGGTGGGGAGGCCAGAAACTTAGGGCCTACAGGCACTTGTGGTTCATTGTAGTCCAGCTCAGCTGCAAGACTGAGCAGTAGAGAGAATATGCAACCCTCGGCCACTAGATGGAGCCTATTCCTAAACCAGGTTCAGACTTTTAGAGGCCCTTGTAGAGGTCTGTCACATGGCCAGAGGTGCTTTTGGAGTTGGGTAGGAGTTTACCAGATGCCCATTGAATCTTTATGGAATGTTTTTTCTTCTGTGTTGCCGTCAAAGCATATACCTTGTTAGAGGGACAGTCTTGTTATGGGGAATGTAAAACAGGGCAAGGTAGAGCTTCCCTGGGGTGTAGAGGTTTACATATGCTATCAGTGAGGCCCAGGTGAGATCCAAATGAAATCACAGGGGATGAAGAGCAGGAGGATTTGTGTGACCAGATATCTAGGCTTTGCTGTTAGACAATGCTTGCTCAGTGCTGGGCCCTGGGGGAGGCAGGAAAGGGTTGGAGAGGCTCAGGTCAGTGGTGGGGTTGGGGTGGGCTTCTGGCAGGGAAATGGGAGGACCATGTTGTAAAGGAAGCTGCCTCTCACAGCAAGGATCGGGCTGAAGCCCTGGTGTTTCAGCGGCATGAGCAGGCTGTACTAACGGCTCTCCTGCATGGGAAGGCAGAGAAGAAGGCTGAGGCGTGGGCCAGACTGCAGAAGATGGCTCTCATATCCCCGTGGGCCAGAGAGCATTCCCCAGAAGACATCGAGGAGAGCTGAAATCAATGGGAGTCCAAGGACAAGCAGTTGGGGGGCAGTTGGGGGAGGGGCAAGGACCCTAGCTGCTGGCTGCTCTTCTCACCAGTGACTTCTGCAGGCGAGCAAAATTGTGGGAGCAGCATACAAGTCCAAGGAGCATGTGAGGAACCCCAAACTCTTGGCCACCAGAGTGCAGTACGGCTGGATGAGGCAGCAGGTGAGGCACTGTGACTGCCCCTGAGATGCTGGGGCTATCTGAGGCCAGCAGATCCCATCTGGCTTCCAGTGGGGGTGATGGTATACATCCTCTCTGACATAAGCTGGTCAGGCTGGTATGCTCGCTGTCTGCAGAGGTCTTGTCCCTGGGGAAGCAGGTCATTTGGCTTATGGGGGAGGTCCTCCTCTGTCCTGTCCTGTCTGTAGCCTTCAGAACACCATTACAGTCTGTGGCTACTCACTAGTGCATTCACTGTCCTCCTCCCCATGAGAATAGGTGCTCAAGAACAAATGTGGAGTGTCAGGGTGCCAGATGCACAGCTAGAGATGGAGTGCGTGGAAGGAGTGACTCTCCTTAGGGGGAGAAAGGGAGATTCGGGATTTCACAGTCAGTCAAGCTCCATCCTGTCCCTTGCCTGACCAGACCCTGCCCAGCCTCTCTTTCCTATCTGCCTTAGGGCATTATGGGAACTCCTGTAATGTCTAAGGCCACATCCCTCCTGGGAAGGTTGGTGTGAGAGGGTCCTGGAGGTGCCTCAGAGCATGGCTTGGGGAGTGCTAATGAGAGATGAGGGCAGGTGCAGGAGCTTTGCACCTGGGCCCCACTTCAGATCCAGCTTATGACCTTGATTAAAAACCAGAAGAGCCCTTAATTCCAGAACCAGTGTAGAGAGGCAAGAGTGGGAAGGCAGAGCTGCTGCAGGCTAGGACGACCACAGCGCTAGAGACTTCTATGGCATGGGAAGACCTAAGGGTACCTTGGTGGCCTTAGCTCCAGCAAGTAGCCACCTCCTGCTCTGCCCCCAGATCTCTCTTCAGGTCTATCAAAGCCTGTATTTCACTGACCTGAAGCCCGTGCAGCAACCCGACTTCCTGATGCACAAGGTCCTGGACCAGCAGGGCAGGCATATCCGTTGGGTGGCCAGCGATATCCGGAGGGAGTTGGAGTCTGTCCCGGGTCAAATCTTCATGGACATGTCAGCTGGCACACCAGCTGCCTCCCCTTCCTCCCCATCCTTGCTGTCCCTGGGAGCCTAGCCTCCAGGGTGCTGGACTCCAGCTGGTCTACCTCCTGGAGGCCCCTATCTTCTGTCTCCTTGCTGCGACCCTGGTCCCTCTCCAGCTCAGTTTAGCTCTTCAACCTCACCTCAGACTTTGAGTCTGCCTGGCAGAGGTCAGGGACCTTAATGCCAGTTGTTTGTTCCCTCATGTAGCAAAGGAGGCCCAGGGGAACCACCTTCATGTCATCTGTGAAGTAGGGCTCACACATCACATTTTGAGGCATCCACTCTATTTTGTAGCAGGGACCCATGGGATTGTGCACGTTCCTGGCTCACTCCTTGCCAGGCCCAGGCGATGCAGCCCTTTCTCCAGGAGCCCCTGCTTCTCTCTGGATAAGTCCAGCTGTCATCTCTCTGGCGCTGCAGAATTCTGAAGAAGAAAATACACTTTCTCCTGTGTTGGAGTCCTGCAGTTGACAAGGCTGGCTGTGTCCCTCATGGCCTTAGGTCCCTGCTATACCAGGACAGGTCATAATGCCTGGTAAGGTCCCAGGTAGACACAGAGGAACCTGTCCCCAGGATACCTGGGTACATCGGCTGCCCCCTCTTCCTCCGCCTTGGGCTCTGTGTGGTGTGGCACGTGGATCATATGCTAGGGGAGTCAGGTGGCTCAGCAACCTGGTTCAGTTTCGCAGAAGAGTGAGGCTCGGCAGTTGTCCTATAGTGGCAGTGGTTGTTTGCCCCTTGTCCCCACCATCTGTCCTGATTGGCCATCAGGTACTTCAGCCCCAACCCTGGTGCTTGTAAGCTTCTCTATGTCTTGTGCCAAGGAGGCCTGAGTATGCAGCAGGTGGCATCTCACCTGGCTTTGATGTTTCCCTGTAGTCCACAAGCCTCTTCCCCTCTTCACCTGTCCCAGCCTCTACTGGACCTCTTCCCCTCTCAGCAGGTCAACTCTGGGCCATGTGTGAACTTCTGGACCAGAAGATTCCATTGAGAGGCCATGAAGCATGAGGTGCCACCACCCAGAAACACTCATGGCACAGAAAGTCAACCAGATGCACACATAATTTCACTGGAACTCTTTGAATTTTCATGAGTGGGTCCCTGCCCAAGGAGGCTAATGGGAGTGAGACAAGAGAGGCCTGGTAGACCTTTGACATCTCAGGGTGAGGGTGAGAGTGGTGTTCCTCCACCCTAGACTCATGTTCTATGTGACCTCAGAGGGTCTTTTGGACTGGGATGTAGTGGTCTGAGGGGCCTGAAGGATGTTTGGGAGTGGCCAGGGCACTGGGGCAGGTGGGCATGGGGCCGGAACTGGAACAAGGTCCATTGCAGACAAAGGTATATGTAGTGCTTTGCCAGATGGAAAAGGGGTGCTTGGAATGGGCTTAGAAAGAAAGACAGGAGAGCTGAGCCTGCCTTTAGAGGAGGTGGGGGTGGGGAAAAAAGAGGGCTGGGCACACAGGAAGTGCTCACTAATTGCTAGATGCCCATAGGGCCTTCTGGAAGCCCAACTGTTGCTTACCATTGCACAGAATGGGGTAAGCAGGTCAGGGGACAGCTGACTCAACCCATGGCCCTGTGTCCCCTCAGCTTCTTTCCTGCTTACAATCATCCAGGAGCCCTGACTGTGCAGTGAGCCTGCAGCCTCCTAGGCCCCTGGAACCCAGAGAAGCTGGGCGGGGTATATCACAGAGTGAGTTAGAGCATGCCTGGAGGGCACTGCACCTTCTACCCTGCTCTGGATTGGGGTACTGCAGTGGGAGGACAAACCTCCCAGAATCCAAGACTGCCCTGGCTGTCATAGGCTGTGCTCACTGTCCCCCACCCTCAATACGGTAGGCAAGGAAGCCTCTGAGGCTCTGGAGTCTGTAATGACTGCATGATCTTGGGAAAGGGTATTTTGAAAAGTAGGGGGGACTCAGCATGTTGAGAGTAGGGAAGAGGAGCAGAACTCTTACCCACTCACCTGTTTCTCAGATGGGAAATTATAACCTGCTGACATAAAGCAAAACCAGCCACTGAATCTTTAAACTGCACTTTATTCAGAGCTGGGCCTAGGGAACACTGAGCAGGGCCCCTTCCCACCTTGTAGCCACACAGCTAGGAAGAAGTAGCACTTCTAGTTAGGCCTGTCCTGCCTCTGCGGTAATAATGTTAGACACTGAGCACTTACTAACACACAATAATTCTAAGATGTAGGTACTGCTATTACCCCAGTCTGCCAGATAAGGAGACTGAGACACAGAAGTGGTCCAGTCTTTTGCTCAAGGGTCATATAGCTGGTTAGAGGTAGTGCTGGGATTTGAGCTTGGGAAGAAGACTGACTGTAGAGCTTATTTTAATTAATTAATTATTTTTATTTTATGTGTATGAGTGTTATGCCTGCATATGTGTAAGTGTACCCATGTTGTGCAGTGCCCACAGAGGACAGAAGAGGGCATCAGATCCCCTGGAACTGGAGTTATGGATGGTTGTTAGCCACCATGTGGGTGCTGGGATTTCAACCTGGGTCCTCTGCAAGAACAATCAGTGCTCTTAACTGCGGAGCCATCTCTCTAGCCCTGTAGAGCCTCTTTTATAAAACAACTCATGTCTTTACCTTGACTCCTGTGCAGGTGTTGTGGGCTGTTGTGATGACCACCATTCTAGTAGGTCATAAGCAGGAGGGAGGGGCATTTGCCTGCAGAGCCCCAGATGCACTCAAAGCAGAACTTTCATGCTAAGGCTGAAGATATCTTTGTCCTCAACAGGCAAAGGGCTTCTCAGCTCTTCCATATGACCAGAAGAGGGAGCCATATCTTTTCTGGAAAGGAAGCCAGAACAAAGGGAGATGATGCACCAGAGTGGGGTGGGGGGGTCCATGAGGACAAGAAATTGACCTCAGGCACATTGCTTTCAGGCCTGCCTGTGGATTGCTTGCTCTTTGATGTCCGGTGATGGCGATGGTCTGTGCCTCTTTGCACAGCCTAATCACTGTGGTCTCTTCAGCCTTAGAATGGCCCTTGCCAGGCAAGACCACAGCTCCTTCTTTAAAAAGTCATTAGTTTAAAAAATGTGTCAGAGTGTTTTGCCTACATATTTATATGTGTGCCACCTGCATGCAATGCCTGCAGAGGCCGTGTGGATGCTGGGGACAGAACCAGGGTCTTCTACAAGAGCAGCCAGTGCTTTTAACTTCTGAGCTGTCTCTCCCTACCCCTAGGTTTTTTTTTTTTTTTTTTTTTTTTTTTTTTTTATAGTGCTGGGAATCAAACCCATGCTAACTGGGAGCCGAGATGCTAGGCCCAGGATACAGTGGGACAATGCAGATGAGCCACAGAAGCAGAGCAGTCCAGGTCCCTTCTCCACCCTCCCTTTCCTCCCCCAGTCACGTTTGTGGTTTACAGAGGTATACTTGTGGTCACCATGAAGAGATGAGTGGGACAGCCTCAAGTCTGCTTGTCTCTAGGGTTGCCAACTGGTTGTCCTGCCCTACAGCCAAATGTCCTGCTACTCCTCTGAGAATGGAGTTCCCCATCCACAGAGTCCTTTCGAGATGAGAGCTCAGCCACTGAGCTATATTCCCAGCAGTTTCATTTTGTGGGTTAGGAAACTGAGGCTCAGAGGGGAGCTGTGTTTCAACTGGTTCTCTGTGTTGACCTTTACTCCCCGATCCTGCCCTATCTAGAATACTTGGAATACCCAAAGAGGGGCTCACTTACTCTGTTTTCCAAAACTGTGGATGTTCCAGAGATCAAGCAGTGGCTTTTGGTGTAGCCCACCAGTATTGAGGCCTGTCTCACTGAATTTTCATAGTTACTGAATCTTTATCCCATGTGGGAGGAAAAGGAGATTCAAGGAGGCCTCGATAAATTCTGTAAGTGAAAAAATCTGGACTTGAAATTCAACTTAATAAGTGACTAAGTTTCTCTCTGTATATATTTTTCCATTTGTTTTTTATGGTACAGGGTCTCTCTCTGTAACCTGGTTGGGTATTGAACTCACCACTCTCCTAGCTCAGGCTCTCAAGGGCCGGGCTTACAGGTGTGCAGCTTAGTTTCTTTTCCTTCTTAAGCCAGTTTTGGTCATTGTTTTTTTTTTTTTTTTTTTTTGTTTTTTTTGAGAATCACATGTTTCTACTGAAAGGCTGATTGAGTACTCCCAAAGATTAATTTCCAACCTAGACGTTTGTTTTTATTTTCAACCTATGACTTGACTGGTATTAAGGCTGCTATTTGATAGTTGTCTATTTTTTTTTTTTTTTTTTTTTTTGGTCTTTTTGAGACTGGGTCTCCCTGTAGCCCCAGCTGTCCTGGAACTCACTATGTCGACCAGGCTTGCCTTGAACTCACAGAAATCCACCTGCCTCTGCTTCCCGAGTGCTGGGATTAAAGGTGTGCGCCACCACGCCCGGCCCATCATTCACATTTTTAAAGAAATTTATTCCTTTCATCTAAGATGTTGAATTTATTGGCATAAAGTTTTCCACAAAATTTCCTAATTTTCTTCTTGATGTCTGTAGGATCTATAGTGATGCTCTTTTAATATTAGTAATTTGTGTCTCTTCTTTTTTCTTGATCATAAAAGCTAGAGTTATCAATGTTCATATTTCTATGAATCAATTTTGATGAAACTGAAGGGAAAGTCTGTGTTTGGTACTGATAATCTTCATGTGTGTGTTTGTGTGGGTATGTGCATATGTGCAAGTGCACATGTGTACCCATGTATGGAGGCCCGAGGCCAACCTCAGTACTATTCCTCAGGTGTTGTTCACCTTGTTTTTTGAGGCAGGGTCTCTCACCAACCTGGAACTTGTTGAGTAGGCTAAACTGGCTGGTCAATGAGCCCCAAGGATCTGCCTGTCTCCACCTTCCCAGGGCTGGAATTACACTGCCATGTGGCTTGATTTTGGGATCAAACTCTTCCATACTTGTGTGGCAAGCACTTTATTGGTTGATCTCTGAGCCCCACTTCTTCAATAGCTTTGATGTTCACTTCTTGTTGAGAGAGAGATGGCATCCCTCTGGGAACAGGGTCCTCCACACACTTCAAGACACAGCCTTTGTGGGGATGGAGGGTTCATGCCTTGATACCTTTTGTGAGGCTAGAGCAGCTCTAGCTCTAGCCATTCTGTGGCTTAAGAGCAC